ACAGGTGGAAGAGCCGAACCTGGCCTCTCAGCGGACGTCTCCTCTTGGTGCTCCGAGGGCCGGAAGATCGGGACTGGGAACACAGGCCCTGGGTCAGACGGTCCTGGGCTCGAATCCCGGCCTCCCTCTAGGACCCGAGAGCAGTCACCTGAGCTCCGTGGGGCTGGGTTTTCTCATCTGTAGATGGGGACCATGTGGGTACCCACCTCATGTAGTTGGCGTGAGGTTGTTAGATAATGCAGGTCAGAGGTCAGCATAAAGCTGGGACCCCATGGGGGCTCCCCACATGGCCGCCAGCCTGTCTCCAAATTAAAGGCCCAAGGGTGACCTTCTGGAACCATGTTTTTCCTGGGCATCTTCGGGCACAGAGCGGGCCCGCCCTGCAGTGTTTCCTAGAATTGAGCTAAGAGAAGTCCTACTGAGGCTTCTGGGTCCTGTGGTGTCACCTCCATCCCTCTGCACCTGTCTGTCATGTGCATCGTCATGTTATTAACACGCAGCCCCTGAACACTGAGCGGGGACATTTCCCGAAGGTGGGAGATGACACCCAATGTCCTGTTCATCCGGGAGGGAGAACAGGATGGGGGAGAACCATGTAACCGGAGCTCTGGGCTCCGCAGCCAATAGTGTGAACATCAGCAAAGGCAGGGAGTCTCGGAAACGGGGACCCCGGAAGGAATGTTCTGTGTGGTTCCCAGACGTCTCCAGCCCAGAGCTTCACCCAGCAGTGCCCCCCCCCCCCCCCCCGCCCCGCGACAGGTGGAAGAGCCGAACCTGGCCTCTCAGCGGACGTCTCCTCTTGGTGCTCCGAGGGCCGGAAGATCGGGACTAGGAACACAGGCCCTGGGTCAGACAGTCCTGGGCTCGAATCCCGGCCTCCCTCTAGGACCCGAGAGCAGTCACCTGAGCTCCGTGGGGCTGGGTTTTCTCATCTGTAGATGGGGACCATGTGGGTACCCACCTCATGTAGTTGGCGTGAGGTTGTTAGATAATGCAGGTCAGAGGTCAGCATAAAGCTGGGACCCCATGGGGGCTCCCCACATGGCCGCCAGCCAGTCTCCAAATTAAAGGCCCAAGGGTGACCTTCTGGAACCATGTTTTTCCTGGGCATCTTCGGGCACAGAGCGGGCCCGCCCTGCAGTGTTTCCTAGAATTGAGCTAAGAGGGAAAAAATGAGCCCGTTATCTGCAGGGGCAGTCCCGGTCCTGATAAAGGAGTCTGCCAGGCTCCGGGGCTTCCCAGGACTTTCTGTCATCCTCTCCGCTGGAGGGCAGCCTCCTGGGCCCCCAGGGAGAAGGTGAGACCAGGGACTGGGGGTGAGGGGGGGGGTGAGGAAAGGGGGTCTGTCTGTGCCCAGAGAAGGCTTCTCTTCTCCCCGAGAGGCCAGCTTGCAGGCACGTGTGGCCTCAGTAAGAGCCCGGAGGAGGCCGGTCACTGTGACTCGTTGAGTACTTCACTGTAGGCTCGGATTCCGCATCTCACTCCCATTTTTTCAGATTAAACACAGGAAAGGCTAAATAACTTGCCCGAGATGGCACAGCGAAATCCGGTTCCTAGACTGAAAAATGCTAAGCAGTCAGGCCCAGAGCCTGCAGTTTTAGCCACAAAACCACGAGACGGCAGGAAAGGAAGCAGATTCTGGCTGAAGTGTGAGTGATCTCGCTACGTGAGTGATCACGCCAACTACATGAGGTGGGTACCCACGTGGTCCCCATTTTCAGATGAGAAAACCCCAGGGCGGGCAAGGGGAGGTCGCTAGAGGAGATGGGCACCGTCTTACCGAGCAGACAGACGCCTACCTGCCTGGGAAGGTCCTACATTGTGTCCCCGAGACCCAACACACCCGCTTCAAGGCCGTTCTTACAAGGCCACAGCCGTGTCCCCTCTGTTTTCATCACCCGCCTCCCCAGCCCACATCCACACCAAAGACCCCAGTTACATTCCTTCCTGGAGCTCAGCACATGGCCCAGGGGGGAAGAGGATGGTGACTGGAGCTGAAGGCATCACTCAGCATCCTCTCCGTCCCAATGTGATGTGACACATCGCCCAGACGTTCCCAGCGCTTAAAGGAACAGTGCCTCCCATCAGTGGGTTCCTGTGCCTGTGCGCTTTGTTGAGGTGTTCCCAAGGCCTTCCCTCCCTTTGCATGGGGTCCCCCCAAATCCCAGACCCTTGGGTTGAGCATCTGATGTTGTGTACTTCTGCCTGACTCGGGGGTCTCCCTACAGTTTCCCGGCCCCCTGGGCACACCGTGGGAGCCTCCTCGCAAGGAAGGGCTTTGCAAGGTAGCCGCCTTGCCCCCCGACTGGACACTTCTGCTCCCACATTCAAGCCTACAGGATGGTGTCTTGAGTCAATGGCTGTCACGGATGGAGAAGGGCCTGGCATCTCTGTGTCCCTTCTGACCGTGGAGAGAATGGAGAAGAGGTGCAGATACACGTGTTTGCTGGCGGGGTGTCATTGTCAAAGCTCATCATGGTGGCCACAGAGTTTTCTCTTCTCCAGAGTGGTCAGTATCCTGTTGGCTCGCATGTGTATGCATGTGTGTATGTGTGTGTGCGCGTGTGTATGTGTGTGCCCTTCCTCTGCCCCTGCGGAAGCCTTTGAGTCATAACAATAACTCATCTAGCCCATTGTCAAGGCTAATTTACACTTCCCCAGCTTGATGCCTGATGCCTCCCGGACTGACGCTAGCTTTCTCCTCTCCCCAAGCCCTCTGTCCCCTCCCCGAGCTGGATGCCCTCCAGGAAGCAGTTGTGGTTGAAGGCAAAGACATGTCAGGTCAGCTAGCAATGACGAGTCTGTGTCAGGCAGCAGGCTGCCCTGGGCCCAGGCCCCTGCTCCAGGTCAGAGGCGTTTCTGAGAAGTGAAGTCCAGGCTCCATGATGTAAGCGGTCTCAGCTGAGAAGACTTAAAGGCGGGCTGTGGGGTAGGGTGGACTCAGTGGCCGGGGGCTGGAGTCACCTGGGCAACCTCCACTCCCAGGTCTGGAGGTTGACGCTGGCCGTCAGCGGGACGCTCAGCTGGGCGGCAGCCAGCACACCTGTGCATGGCTTCTCCATGTGGAACAGCGTGGATTTCTGCTCGAGGCGGCAGCCACGTGCCGAGATCCAGTGCCCAGGAGAACCGGCAGAAAGGCTAGGGCTGCCACGATGAAGTACCACCAGCGGGGTGAGTTAACAGTTACTCTGTCACAGTCCGGGAGCTAGAAGGTCCAAATCAAGCTGACGGCAGGTTGGACCCTGCTGGGGGTTGTGAGGGAGCCTCTTTTCCCTGCCGCCCGCTCGCTCCCGGTGGCGCGCCCTGATGCTCTGTCTTTACGTGGCCTTCTCCCCGCCTTCAGCCCTCTTTCCCCTGCGTATCTGTTTCTGTATCCAAATTTCCCCTTTTGTAAGGATCAGAGCCAAATGACCTCATCTTGACTCAATCACCAGCAAGACTATTTTTAAATAAGGTCCATTCACAGATGCTGGGAGTTAGGAAGTCATCTGGGTTTGTTTTTTATTTTAATCCTCACGCAGACATTTTTCCAATGATTTTTAGAGAGAGTAGAACGGAGGGGGAGAGACAGAGAGAAACATCCATGTGAGAGAGACACATGGATTGGTTGCCTGCAACCGAGGCACATGCCTTTGACCGGAATCAAACCCGCGGCCCTTCAGTCTGTGGGCTGACGCTCTATCCACTGAGCCAAACGGGCCAGGGCAGGATGTCCACATCTTTTGTGAGGACACCATTCAACCCATAACCATGACGCAGCCTAGAAAGTCCCGTAGCATCACTGTGCTGTGGTCACAGGCCCCTCCCCACCGGTTCAAGGGGGAGGGAACATGGCCCCTCTTTCGATGGGAGAAGATCACCTGAGAGGGAGAGGCTGCTGCAATCCCTGTTGCAAGATACAGTCTGCCACAACAGTGCTTTATATATGTGTGTGTACACACAGACACACATGCACACATGGGGGTGGCCAAAAGTAGGTCCACAGCTGCACTGTGACATTCTTTTGGGTTAATAAAGCTATTGTAATGATCATAACCTGCGTGTCTACTTCCATATGAACCACTGTAGGCCTACTTTTGCCCACCCCCATATATTTATATATATAATATAAAATATAAAATATAAAAATATATATTTTAGTTGCTAATATGTAAGCATAAGGGGGTTTACATAAAATTTGGGATTCTGGCTCCCGAAGAATCCGAGGAGCCGGGCAGCGTGGCTCTGGGTTCCGGGTGCGGCCATCAGCGAGAGCCGCCCCTTTCGGGAGCCGGTGGGTTCGGCGACCCATTTCCTGCGTCTCCTCGTCTAGGGTCACCTGTGGTTTCCCTTCCCTCACCCGCTTCTCTCCTGTCTGTCCTCGTTGCCGTCCCCGGGGGGGGGGGTGGCCTGAGGGTGCCCCCCAGCCCTGTCCAGGCAGGACCTAGGAACTCCCCTGAGGCTGGTCTTGGTGTCAGGACTGGAACAACCCCGCCCCCACCCCAGGGGCCCACAGAAGGCACCTCTGATTCACAGGCCAGCAGGCGTGTGCAGGGCTGGTCGGGGCAGGAGGCCGGACAAGCACAGGCAGCTGATTGCAGAGGGAGGGCGAGGCGGGGGTGGAGGTGAGCTGGAAACTGCAAACAGATGTGTGCAGATCCGCCCTTTGGGGGGGGCCGTCCCCCCTGCTCCCCGCCCTGTCTGCCCCGCCCCCACGGATCTCCTTCCAAGAAATGACGTGGGGACTCCCTCTGAGGTGGCTTCCCTGACTCCCCGCCATTCCCATTCGTCCGACTCTCCCAGAGCCTTCCCGGACCTTCCCCGCTACCAGCCAAATCCCTTCACAGCACGGCCTCCTGTAAACAATGCCGGGTCTCAACCACAGTCCCGTCACCCAGAGGCCTCGATCTTCTCCTCAGAAGAGACAGTGGAACACACAGGGGCCAGGACAGGAGTCAGGGAGGGCGTTCCAGGTCCCTCCACCCCGAGGAGTGCCAGGTTCTCTCCAGGCTGGGACACACGGCGTTTGGGTGGGTCCCGGGCACTGTCACCACCACAGGCTCCTCTGGCCTCTGTGTGTGCCCCCTCCCGCCTTCGGAAGAGCGAGTGAGTTCATTTATGAGCCTCTGTGCATACACACAGGTGTCCTGGGTGGTGTGTGGGTGTCCTCCATCCAGCGTTGGGCTGCGGGGCCCTAGTAGGTGTGGGGGGACGTGGAGAAGCCTGCCCAGTCTCCCCACAGACCGGGCACGGTGCCAGGCCCGGAACGCAGGCAGGGCTGGCCTCTACCCACAGGCGACAGCCGCAGAGGGAGAGGTCTGGGGGCCCATCCCCAGCACCTGCGATGAATACTTTGCAGGTGGATGGTGGGTGTGGGTTTTCTGACCTTGGGGAAGGATTGTTTGGCTCCTAGAGGTGGAAACCATTTAGGAAGGGGAGGTGGGGGAGGAGCAGGAAAACAAGCATCCCGTGGTTGCCAATTTCATCCAGGGCTGGCTGGCACTTCTCTACAGAAACGAAGACTGCTGGGAAACAGCGGGCGGGAGGCCCGAGGTCCGGGAGGGCCAGGGCTTGGGATCCCGCCAGCCTCTGCCAGTCTATGAACCCCCAGAGAGAAAAGATGCACAGCGGAGCTCCAAGCAAAATGAGTCCTCTTTCCCGAGAGCTGCCACACACATCACTGTGCACGGGGTGGCTGAACCCAGCAAACGCGTTCTCTCACAGTCTGGCGGCTGGAAGGCCACACTCACGGTGTTGGCAGGGCCGGTTCCCTCAGGAGGCTCTGGGGGAGGGTCCTTGTCCCCCCAGCCCCTGGCGGGGAGCTGCATGGAGCCAGTCTCTCTCTTCCTTTTCACACAGTCTTCTTCGCTCTGTGCGTCTCTCTGCGTCCTCGCCTTTTCTCATAAAGACAGGCCATCGGACTGGGGGCCCACCCTAATCTAGTGTGATCGCTCGTTAACTAGTTACACCCGCAAAGGTCCCGCTTCCAAATAAGGCCCCGTTCCGAGGTTCCAGGGGGGGGGGGGGGGGGTGAGGGACGGGCAGGGAGACACAACACTTCTACAGTACCCTCGACTACCTTATCTGGGGGTCCCCCCCGGAACCCCATAGAGGTTCCAGCAAGTATCAGCTTGACCGGAAGCCACTTTAGACCAGGGGTCCTCAAACCCTGCTCGTGTTTGGGTGGCCCACGCACTCAGAACGATTTTCACATTTTAAAAGGACGCGGACAGAGACCAGAATGAAATTTCATTGCAGGTGAAAGTTATATAAAACTCTCATCTCAGGGTCCCTTAAGTACAACAGCCACGTGCTTTCACTGCTGTGTCTTTCTCTGGCTGCTTCCTGGAAGCCTGAATTGTTTACTCCCTGGCCCTTCAGGGAGAACGTTTGCCCAAAGGAGGGGACATCATTGCCCTAAAACAATGTTTCCTGCTTGGCCGCCCAGAGCACGCAGGCTTCCCCCCGGGCCGGGTCCCCTCCTCCGGGTGAGCAGCGTCTGGCCCTGGCACTTACCTGGCTGTCGCTGGCAGGTGTCCTTATCTGTGAAACGGGGGAGAGGGGAGAGTCCTGCTTGTGGGCCTGTGTGGGGATTGCCTCAGCTGCAGAGAAGGCCTTCAGCAGGACACAGGTCGGCCGTTGTCCTTGCTGCCCCGCGGCTCTGTCTGCGGCAGGAGGTTGCAGGCCACAGAAAGCCAGACATTTGGAATTCTCTCCTACGCCCGAGTCTAATTCCATTCTTTATCCACACGGAGAGAAGAGAGTCAGAGACGTGCCCTTCGCCTGCCTGGGGGTAGGAAGGGTAGGAACTTTCCATAGGGGTAGGAAAAACCACACCCGAAGGCACAGGACAGCGCCGCTGTGGGCCCGCTGGCGCCCATGTGACCCTCCCGTCCACGCCCCACCTTGCTCTGCGGCCTGTGGGGACCGTGTTCCGGTGACCTCTGGCTTCTGGACGAGCCTGGACCACAAGGAGCCCAGGGAGGAGGCTGGAGGACGGAAGGAGAGGCAGGTCTAGGTGGGGACCTGGGGGTTCTCCAGCTCCCACCTGGGCCTGTGTCTCCGTCCAGCCTTGTCTGTCCGCAGGTTCCAGTCACCTGCCCCTCCGCCGGCCGCGTCAGGCCCCAGGGGCACTGGCACCCGGGTTTCTGACCCTGGGTCCTGCCTTCCTCCTGGTATGAAGCTCTCCGCAGTGATGTGAATGTGAGCACGGTTGCTCCTAGCATGACTGACACGATCTGGAAGGCCAGACACTCCCACCACCCGCTCCGAGGCCCCCACATTTCTAAGATTCAGACGTTTTCTTTGGAGACATTTCCAGAGGCAGGCGGAGCCCGTAGGGTAAGGACTGGGGGTCGGGACTCATTAAGCCAGAGTCACGCCCACAGCAGAATCTCCTGGATGAGCCCAGTGTCCTTTTATCCACGAACAATAGCGATAATCCCTTACAGGTGCAGCGTGTCGTACGGCTTACAAATGACGTTCACACGTAATCGCCCTGCTCGTGCCCATTTTCTGGAGGAGAAAACTGAGGTCTGAAAGTTTTGCATGAACCCCCACCGCTTGGTGTAGAGTTGGGATTTGAGCAGGTGACCGATTTAACAAATGCAAATAGAGGCTGCTTGGTTCAATGTGAATTTCAGCTGCACAACAATGTTTTCGGGTAAACACGTCCCATGCAAAATTTGGTTTTATCTGGCAACCCTACCGCGAACCCAGGTTCCAAACCCTTCAAGACCATGTTGCTGCAGGCAGGTGGAGCCGAGGGGGGCTGCAGCCAGCCCACCCCCCCACCACCCTGCAGCCCATCTACCTGAGCCGCATGTTCGTTCAGAGCCTGGAGGTCCTGTGCCCGAGAGGTCATTTCCCTACGCTTCATTCCATGAGTCTGATGTTGAAAAAGGCAGAAATTGCACCCATTCCACAGATGAGGTAGCGGAGGATGAACTCAAGTTCGAGTTCAAGCTGGGATTTGTAGGAACCCATGTCTGCTAACTCCATGCTCTCTTATACGCAAAGTGCTTTTCCCATTGAGTGACACTGGGAGCTTTTAAGAAAATAACTTCACTGAGTGGAGTCCCGTCTACTGTGCGGGGTTAGGTTCCAAATTATGTACAAGGTAAATGTTATGTGTGGTCAAAATTACCCTGGAAAACCCGTTAATCGCCTTGAAAATTGGTCATCCAGTACAGAGTGCGCTGCGTGTACTGTGATAGATACAGGAGGAGGTCTCTCCTCTGACCTGCCTTAAGCTACCAGCCGTAGGAAACGATGCCCTACGTTCGTTTGCAAACAATGAAGATGCCCACAGTCCCCGAAAGCTGAAGGCTGAGAGCCCCGCGAATCTGCTCCCTCGCCTCCAGCTGGATGTTTACAGATTCAGTTACCACTGTTCTCAACCTTGTTTATGCCGCCGTCCATTCTCTAGTAATGACGTAACTTAATTAAGTCTGATGTCAGCGGCTAAGATGAGCGTGCACAAGGAGAATGAGGACTTCGTTGAAAATGACATTGGATGGTTTGGGAAAGGAATAAGCTGCAAAAATAAAAGAGTGTGTTGAGTTGGAAATGGACAGGAACTGTAACGTTTTAGGGCAAGATAGTAAGAGCTGGACTCCGCTCGGACATCGCCCGGGTTTTCTACTTCGCTAAATGCGGATACTCCGCGTGCCCGTCTGTCTCCCCAGTTTCACGGCAGGAGTCCGCCCCGTGACCTCACTTCCCTCGCAGAGCCGAGGAGAGTTGCTGAGTTTTCAGTGGGTTCAGCTTTTCACTTGTTGGGACTGAGCAGCCACTGCCAAGCTCCGTCTACGCAGAACTGGAAACTGCAGTCTTCCATTCATCATTTCTATACATTTTTTTGCTTTACTTTAAAGAGATAGAAACTGAATTCACTATTGATGCCTTATAGAGGTGGTTTATGTAAGAAAAATACTAAAGAATTCCACATATCGAGCCCATTCTCAAACAGAAAAAAAAAAGAAAAATGCTATGACCCCATATGAACAGATTGGTGAATTAATCTACATTTATGAATCTAAGTAAAAGTAAAGTGTGCCTATGTATATGTTTAAAACTCCCTGCTTTAGTTATGTTTTGATTATACAGAGGCCTTATGAATGTGCATTATACAGTAATGTAGACTATCCTATATAATAAAAGGCTAATATGCAAATCAGCCGAATGGCAGAAAGATTGGTTGCTATGATGCGCACTGACCACCAGGGGGCAGATGCTCAACTCAGAAGGTCAGTGCTCCAGAAGCTGGGCTCACAGTTGGCAAGTGCAGCGGTGGTGGCGGGAGCCTCTCCTGCCTCCACAGCAGCACTAAGGATGTCTGACTGCTGG